AGGCAGCTGATCCAACTCCTTCCTTTTACAGTTAAGTAAAGTGAGGCCTGGTTCTGTTAACTTTACCCTGCATCAGTTCATATAAATCTTCCCAGGTTTTTCTGAATCCATTCCTCTCCTTTTTCATTTCTTGTGGCTCTATAATATTCCATTACATTCACATACCATAACTAATTCATCTATTCCACAATTGATAGGCAGGCATTCTCTTAGTTTCCAGTTCTCTACTACAATAAGAAATGCTACTATGAACATTTTTGTCCGCATGGATGTCTTCTCTCCTTTTTTGTTTTTAGAGTATACATCTAGTAGTACTGCTAGGGTACCTGGACTGTGCCAAAGTTAATGGCTTGTCAGGTAGAGTCTGAAAATTGCTTTCCAGAATGACTTAACCAATTCAGTTTCACTAAGAGTACATTAGTTTACCTGTCCTTACACACGGTTTCTGTCAACTGTCATTTTCTTTTTCGTCATCTTTTTGAGTGTTCATAGAAAAACAAAAATGAAATGGCCCCAGTCCTCAAGAAGCCTTGCATTCTACACAGCACCACCTTCATGGATACCTCACAAGTAACTCCAAGTTCCTGCCCTTGGGTATTGAGCTTTTTATCCAACGAAGAATTTCCTGTGCTACATCTCTTAGAGGAGGAAGAGGATTATTGCCAAGGCTCTTGCTACTGAATGTTGTGACGAGGTGGACCGCCCCCCTCACCGTAACAATAAGTTATCTAAACAATACAGCTTTTATGGGAAAGGTTTCTAGCAGTTTCTAAGTGTGTTTTCCTTCCACGGGTAGTCCAAATCACAGGACATCACTTAGCTGAGAAGACGCTAGGACCCTGTAGAAAAATTGGACCCAACAAGGAGAGGGGGAGGATAATCATGTTGTGATTATTGTGCTGTATGTGCTTTCTACATTTGTTTTGGTACTTTCACAAGTCCTTTGGATTTTTCACATTTCATGTGAGTTGCAATTAAGACTGTGTTCTTCACCCAAGTACTACTGTTATCTTGAGTGTTTGTACAGGATCTGGGAGAATGTAGACTCCTTAAGCATAGGGACTGTCTCATTTTTGTATTTGAGAGAGATCTTTAAGAATAGTACCCAGGAAAAAACCAAGTCTGTGGGAGTACTGAGCCCACTCACTGGTTAATATAACATTTCCTCTCTTACCTCAGAGCCAATGCCTGCAATGTTTTCCTTCCTCACCTCTACCTCTTGAAATTCCTAGCTCTATTAAAGGTTCAGCTCAAATTCTATCTCCAGACACAAAAATTTTCCTTATTCCCCCGCTTGTTAGCCACATTCAGAAATTACTTTCTATTTCTTTTGTATTGTTTTACATGTGTACTTGTCACTGACAGAAAGAAGCTCCTTAAGAGCAGAGTCTTGTCATTTTTGTCTTTTTACCCTTAAATACCTAGCACATCGCCTGCCATACTATATGTTCCTAATAAATGCTCATCAAAATGAATTGAATATAACTGGGAGGAATATTTTATCAGTAGTGTTAAAGATGGATGCTGAAAGTGAGAAACAGAACTGGGTGGATCTATTAGGAGGTTACTACAATAGTTTAAGTAGATAGTAAATAAGGAGCTTTGAACTAAGATAGTGTTTGTAGAAATAGAAATCATTTTCAATATACTTTGATGATCAAACCTTGAAAGTAATATGCTTAAAAAAAAAGTCAGATTCCTTTTAAAACATTGTTTAATTCCCACTTTTTATAAATACAAACTGGAAATCTGTCCAACTGGTCCAGATTAATACGTTTACTATAATTTTCCTTTCTGGAAGAAAATTATAATGGCACTAAATATCTAAAAACAATAAGGCATACATAATACTACAGAGCTCAATATAACAGAGGTTGGGGGCAGCTAGGTGGCTCAGTGGACAGAGTTCCACCCTTGGAGTCAGAAGGACCTGGGTTCAAATCCTGCCTCAGTCACTTAATACTTATTAACTGTGTGACCCTGGGCAAGTCACTTAACCCCCTGATTGCCTCACCAAAAAAACAAACAAACAAACAAAATACATATATATGACAGAAGTTGGGGAACTTTAAGTTCTATTCCCAGGTCTATTACAAATTTGCTGTACTTCGGATTAAAAAAACAAAACAAATAACACTCTGCCATTCTAGGGCTTAATTTCCTTACCTGTAAAATAAAGGTATTCTTACTCTGTGATTTAGTGACTGGCCTCCTTGCTGTTTCTCACACAAGACTTTCCGACTGTAGACTCCAAGCATTTTACTGGCTATCCCTTAAACTCTCCCTCCCCATTCCTTGGCTTCCTTGAGATCTCAAATACTGTCATCTACCAAAAGGTCTTGCTGATCATCATAATGCTAGCGCTTCCCTTTATTGATTATCTCCTATTTATCTTGTGTGGACCTTGTTTGTACATAACTGTTTGTGTGTTGTTTCCTCCATTAGACTGTGAACTCCTGTTAAGACTGCTTTTTGCCCCTCTTGTCTCTCCAGAGCTCAACACAGCGTGCCACCTAGTCTGGCATATTTATTAGTCTGGTGTTTAATGAATGCTTATTGACTGAGTGAATGATAGATCTATCACTCCAAGAAGATCCAAATGAATTCTTTAATTAAGGTCATACAGAAATTCAAAGTAATTTCCAAAGTGGTGAAAGATGTTTTTTGTTAAAATGTTTCTTTTTTTTCCACCAACATTATGCTTTTAGTCATATTAATTATCTTCAGTGAAATTTAATAAAAATGCACAAGGGAAAATAAAGAGTTACATAAGTCTACTGGGTCACTTCCTAAAGGAATGTGTGTCCTGGTAGTGGTTTCTGAGAAGGACACACATAACTCAAGGCTGCTCAGTTTCTGGTGGACCTGAAACTTAAGGAAGCGATGTCCCAAATATAAAGAACTCAGACACTAACTATTGAAGATCTATATGAGCTGATAAAGAGTAAGGTAAGCAGAACAAAGAAAACAATTAACAAAATGAACAAAATAACGTAAAGTAATATAATTGAAGGTCACCACAAATCTAATACATACCAATCTTGACTTCAGAAAAGTAGCTGTGAAGCATATCTCCCCCTTCTCTGGAGAGAGGTCATGGACTTTAGGTGTAGAAATAGGCAATATATTGGTGGACGTGACCAACTTGTTGGTTGGTAAGTACATACACCAAGAGGGTGTATACCACAAATTTATGCCTCTTGCACCCAGAGCTTTTTCCTTATGGAGGGCTCCTAACAATGACAATAGTGTAAATGCAAATAAACTAGCTGACTGATAAATCATAAGGGATTTTTCTCTTTGTTCAGTTATTTACAATGGTCAATGGATTGTGGATTTAGGAAAGGAAGGGATCTGATTATACAGAAAAGGAAACTGAGGTTAAATGACCTGTTCCAAGTTACACAGACCTTAGGTAGCAAGGTTGATACACTCAAGTCTTCCAACTCCAAACACAAGTATCTTAAATGTTAAAAATCACAACTGCCTTTTTTTCCCTCAGGGGTATTAATCCTATTATAAACAGGGAGTGAAGAAGAAAAACCACCAATTAGAATAGTTCTTTTTTTCTTCTTTCTTATCTTGGGCAAGTCACTTTACAAACTCCCCCCGGCCTCAGTTTTCTCATCTGGGAATTTCTGACGAGGTGACTTCTGAGGTTCCTTTTAGTTCTCAACTTTATGATCCCTGGTATATCTCACCAGGGAGCCTGTCCTCTGGATTGGCATTGAGCAATGCCATTCTCTAGGCACCAATGGAAAATGAAGCATGATGAAAAATCTTTTGAGGACCACAGCTTAAAATTCATCTAACTGTGCTTAAACAAAAGACCATTTGAAATATCCCTGGCAAATGTCCAAAAACCAAGCAACCAAACAAACAAAAAAAGTCACCTCAAAAACCTACCATCCCACACACTTAGTACAGTTTTTCTTGAAATAGATTTTCCTGTGGCTTGTGATAAAATGGTCTCTGGTGGTAACAAGACCTGCAGAATGTTATTTAAAACTCAAGGGTTCAAATTTAGTATTAATAAGGCAAACCAAATGCTTTTTCACTGAGTCATGAAACAATGATTACGTAATCAAAATGGGAAAGTCACGTTATTCTGTTTTTAATTCTTGCTATTTAAGATATGACACCGCCGTTTTAATTCTATTTGGATTAGGTCAGATCCATGTAAACCTAAAGAAGTTTTTTAAAGTAACAAGCAAAACAACTATAGGATAATTTTCAAGGCTGCTGAATTTGTATTATGCATTTTGTGGTTGTTCAGTCGTTCAGGGGTTTTCTTGGCAAAGACTTTGGAGTAGTTTGCTATTTCCTACTCCAGTGGATTAAAGTAAACAGAGGTCAAGTGATTTGTTCAGGGTCATGGAGCTAGTGAGTGTCTAAGGCCGAATTTGAACTCAGGTCTTCCTAACTTCAAGCCCAGCACTCTATCCCCTGAGTCACCTAGCTGCCTATATTAAAGACACTGAAGTACAAGTAAAAATAAATCACTTTTTTTGCTTTTATAAAACTAAATTTTGTAATTTCCCTAGTCAGCATAATTTCTACTGAATTCAGTGTTTTCAACTAACTTGAAATGGGTTAATGGAGTTAGAATACTAGGCAAAAGGTCTAACCAAGTCTTACATTAAGAAAACTTGCTCTACCAAAGCAGATCTAAAAATTGTTTTGAAATTTATAGTATTAGGGAGTTGCCTAGGGCACTGAGAGTTTAAGCATTTGCTTAGGTCACCAGGCCAGTAGGTATAAGAGACCAGACTTGAACTTAGGTTTCCTGATTATGATCTAGGTTCTCTGGTCATTACTTTACTATACCTGTTATATTGCATACATTATTTGCTCTTAAATTCATCACAAAACACAGAATCATACTGCTTAATTTCTTGCAAAGCAACTGCATATTTAAAACAAAAAAATTACTGCTATATTTGTGATTGGAAACTTTAAAAGTAGTTGTACTTTTTTTAAACTTAAAAATTAGAACTTACCATTTTTAATAAAATTTCAAAATTCTGTGACAATGTAAAAATAAGAAGTTCTCTACTGAGACAGCAGTCATCAAGGAGGTACGTGACGCATGAGTATTTCTGCAAAAAAAATATTTTGCAAATAAGAAAATTACTTTAAACAATATGCAATTGTCACTTAGTATCAACACTTCCTAAAATAGCATCTACATAATGACAAGGTAACTATGACAGTTATTGTTGAGTAAAATGACTTAACTTCCCAATACCTTGTTTTTTACTATTTGTACTAACTAGCATGAAAATACTGAGAAAGATAGAAAAACATCATATTTTATCAGTATTTTACTAGAGAAAGTATGATGATTAATGTTGGAAAGTTATGATACCTGGCACAAAATATAATTATCAAAACAGATACACACACACACACTCAGGTCAGATGACAAAAAGGCTTGAGAAATCATTGTTATTGTAATTATAAGAATTTGGATTTTAAATAGTTTTAAATCTGTTATGAAAGAACCATTTGAAATGTCTGGAAAAACAAAAGTATTCCCCTGTTGAAAAGAAAGAATTTTCCCCAGAGAAATGATTCCTAAATAAAGAAAAAGCAAAATCCCATAACTAAATAATGCTTCTAGATCAGATTAACCTTTTTTTTTTTTTGGTGTCATGTACTCCTTTGGCAGTCTAATGAAGCCTATGGACCCCATCTCAGAATCATGTTTTTAAATATATAAAATAAAAAGGCATATTTAAAAGAAAAAAATAAATGCCACATTTACAATTACAAATTTTAAAATGTGGTTGTGCATAGATTTACAAAGGAAACCAATTATATTGAAAGTCTTTGAAATACTTAAAAAAAAATTCATAGATTCCAGATTAAGAATATCAGATTTAGACAGAAAACTAAATGTCTAGAAATACCCACATGTATAACTTAACACTCAAGGTACAAACTATGTGTAGTGTTATCGAGCCATCATTAACAAAGAAAAACAAGGCACTTTATAAAGAAAATGACAACTATCAGATTACAAATTAGCTTTTAAAAGATTTTTATTCTCGTGATTTAAGAAAAATTTGGAGGTATTATTCCTTTTCCTCTCAAAAGAGAGAAATATGGTACCAGACAAGTTCTCACTCAATTCTCTGAATTGAACTGCCCAAGACTCTGAAAGTATTCCCAAGAGATCACAATACTTTGAAATCTCTCTAAATTTTTCATCTAATGATTAACAAACTCCCTTCTGAGTATGGAAATCTATCTTACCCTACAGGAAAATAGGGGGGGAAGCAGACAAGAGAGCAGGAGGATGATAGAGGGGAAGGCAGATTGGGGGAGGGGCTAATCAGAAGAAAACAGTTCTAAGGAAGGACAAGGTCAAAAGAGAGAATAGAATAAATGGGGGGGTGGGATAGGATGAGGGGAAATATACTTAGTTTTTCCACAACATGACTACTATGGAAGTGTTTTGCATGACTACACACGTATAACCTGTATTGAGTTGCTTGCCTTCTCAATGAGGGTGGGTGGGGAGGGAGGAAGAGAGAAAATCTGTAACCCAAAATTTTAAAAACAAAAGTTAAAAAAAATTGTTTTCACATGCAACTGGGAAATAAGATATACAGGCAAAACGGTATAGAAATCTATGCTGCCCTACAGGAAAATTGAAGGGGAAGGGGATAAGAAAAGGGAGGGAGAGATAGAAGGGAGGGTAGATTAGGGAAAGGGGTACTCAGAATGCATGCCATCTTAGGGTGGGGGAGGGACGAAATGAGGAGAAAATTTGGAACTCTAAATCTTGTGGGAGTGAATGTTGAAAACTAAAAATAAATAAATAAATAATTTTTTTAAAAAAATCTCCCTTCTAATACCCTCGCCATCACAGTGATGCTGAAATCCTGCAGGTCATCATCCAAACTTCATTTTCCTATTCTCCACTGTAGGATTCCTCTCAACTCCCCATCCCCCAAGTCTCAACTAAAAGCTATACACTCTTTTACTGTAACATCTGGAATGCCTGTTTCAAAGAAAACAAACTTCCTTTCATCTTAAACCTTTTCATTCCACACTCCTTCTAGTTTCTGACTCATTGAGACGGCTCCCTCTGGATGATAGCCTCCTTGGAGACCCACTTTCGCTCAATCTTCTCAACTCACTGGGGGTAGCAAGGTGGCGCAGTGGATAGAGAACCGGCCCTGAAGTCAGGAGTACCTGAGTTCAAATCAGGCCTCAGATCAAACACTTGACACTTAATAGCTGTGCCACCCTGGGCAAGTCACTTAACCCCAATTGCCTAAAAATAAAATTAAAAAAAAAACCAACACAAAAAAAAATCAACTCACTGGTCAAAGTGGGATAGGTTCTCTCCTTATCAGCATTACTCAGTAGCCTCTCCTACTTTAAAGGTCACAAAATTCACATCTGCCACTAAATCAAAATTCTGGCAGTTGTCTACAAAGCTCCAGAACATACTACCCTTCCTCAATGAATTCAGTACTTGGGCTGATAACCTCTCTATCCCAACTCCTGCCCTCATCTATGGAACTTCAGCATATATACTGATACACCCTCAAATATCCTGGACTCTCACAATAGGCTAGCTAGTTGGCCTGCTAGCCACAAATCTCTCTCCATTCTAGTGTATACTTCATTTAGGCACCAACGTGATTTTCCTAAATCACTCACCTCCCTACTCAATAAACTCCAGGGGCTCCCTGTCATCTAAATCCTTTGTTTGGCATTCTAAACTCTTCATAGCCCAGCCCATGGGTGGGGAGCCTGTGGCCTGGAGGTCACATGTGGCCCTGTAGGTTCTCGGGTGTGGCCTTTCGACTGAATCCAAGTTTTATAGAACAAATCCTTTTATTAAGGGGATTTGTTCTGTGAAGTTCGGATTCAGTCAGAGGGACATACCTGAGGACCTAGAAGGCCACATGTGGCCTCCAGGAGGCAGGTATCTTACCCCTGGCCTAACCCCTCCCTACCTTTCCAGTCTCGTTTAGACCCTACCATCTACTCTTCAGTCCAGTCGCACTGGCCTCCTTGCTGTTCCAAGAACAAGACACTCATCTCCTGACTCGACTCAGGGCATTTTCACTGGCTGTCCCCCACACTTAGAATGCTCGAGTTTCTACCTCTTGGCTTCCCTCAAATTCTAACTTAGTACCAACTTCTACAAGAAGTCTTTTCCAATTTCTCTTAATTCTAGTGCCTTCCCTGTTAATAATTTCCTATCTATCCTGTATATAACTTGTTTGTAGATAGCTGCGTGTTGTTTCCTCCATTAGACTGTGAGCTCCTGAAGGCAGGGGCTGGTTTTTTTGTTTTTTTTTTTTTGCCATTTCTTTATATCCCCAGCCCTTCATAGTAAAGTCTTAATAAATGTTTACTAACACAGACATATGTAGATTTTAAATGAACTAAAAATACCGGTGAAAGGGGCAGCTGGGTGACGAAGTGGATTGAGCTCCAGTCCTGAGTTCAAATTCGGCCACAGACACTTAACACTTAACTAGCTGTGTGACAAGTCACTTAACCTCACCGCCCAGCCAAAAAAAAAAAAAAAAATACAGGTGAAATATTTTCTTTCATAAATTGCCATAACACCCAACCAATAAAAAACTTCACTGGAGTACTCAAATATTAAACACAGGATCATAGATTAAAGTAGAGGCCTTTAGAGGTCATCTAGTTTAAGTTCCCTCATTTTACCCATGAAGAAACTGCTATTCCAGAGTTTCTAAATGATATGCCCAAAGTTCCAAAGGCAGCAAATGGCAGAGCTGACATTTGAATGAAGATCCTCAGATTCCAGATATGCTACTTTTCAATCGCAATATACTGTTCTATAGGCCATATCTTTTACACTGACTGAAAGGAAATGTTTGATGAAGGGAAAACGTTGACGAAGAAAAAAAGTGAAGGTATTAATAAAAACATTTTCATCCATTAAAGACAGCATTTTCATACTTTTTTTTTTCTTAAAAGATGTATGTGGCTTAAACTCAAAACTGTTTGCATATGATGATTTCCAGGGATGAATACGTTTGTTGGTTTCCTCAAAACCATGATAAATGACATGATAAATGATAAATTAAACTCTGCCATTCAAGAGGTAAAGTTTCATAGGATTAGAGATTTAGAAATGGAAGCCCTCTAGTACAACACCCTCATTTTACAGAGAAGTAAGCTAAGGTTTCAGAGAGGTTGAGGCACTTAGGGGGTCACAGAGAACAGAGCACTAGACCTAGAACCGGAAAGACTTGAATTCAAATCCAGTCGAGGACTCCTACGGGCTGTGTAACCCTGGACAAATCATTTAACCTCTGTCTGCCTCAGTTTCCTTATGTGTAAAGTAGATATGATAACACCACCACCTACTTTCCAGGATAATTGTGAGGATAAAACGAGGTAATACTTGTAAAGTGCTTTCCAACCTTAAAGGACCATATAAATGTCAGCTATCATTATTATTATTCTGTCTAAGACCACACAAGTAATAAATGGGAGAATCAGGATTTGAACCTTTGTCTTCTGACTCAATTGAGGGTTCTTGTCACAGCAGGACACTGCTTTACTTACTTTACATTAAAGGTAACCAAGTCCACCAGGCTAACATTGTTATATACTATATATAATTTATAGGACAACAGCTGATAAAATAAAGTCAGTGAGAACATGGTACTCATGAGGTAGGTTTGATTTCTAGTAGTTTGGTGCCAACTATAACACCTACTGGAAAAACAACACAAAACACATGCCCAGATAGTGTGTCAAAAGCTTGCTACCTATATTTTACATATATATAGGAGAGGTTTTATAAAATAAAAGCAGAAACAAAGTTGGTATGCAATGACTGCTTTTGTTGTATCACTCTTAGGTTTCCAGAGTGTAGTAACAGTCATAACTAGACTTTCCTCACCAACATTGCTAAAATACAATTCTATTTCCTGTTACAGAGTAACAATAAATTTTCTTTTAATTGTGCCTGATACGGACTTAGAAAATACAAAATGACAGAAAATTTACCTTTTGGGCAATAAAGTTCAGGTCTTGGGTTTCTATCCCTAATATCAACAGTGTAATACATAGAATTTAATTCATAAAGTCCTGTACAATGCCATGGCTGGCATTCACATGTTAAATAATAGTAATAATGACACCTCAGGAAATGACCTGGCACTCTATTCATCTTCTTATGACCCTCACTGAACTACTCAGCACCTGTTTGTCCCCAGACTTAATAAGGCCACACCCAGAGGAAAAGACTTCTTGGAACTCAACCTGAATAGAAACTTCTTAATTCCAACATCACCACATTTAATCATCACAATCTTATCTCGCTAGTTCTGATATTAAGTAAAAACCTTTAATTTTTGACATTTTCTAGTTCCTTCTTTCATAGTCAAAAGCCCATGAAAAACATTAAGTAAAAAGGCATTTTCCTTCCCTCCTTTTCAATGTTATTGAGAACAAAAGCAATAATAAGAAACTTCAGAAAGTCAGATTCTAGGAAATAAAATAACATTGTCAGAGGTTTTGTTTTATTTGTTTCATGGGATCAAAGATTTAGAGCTGGGCCTCAGACCAGTTAGTGCAACCCCCTTAATCCATATATGAGGACACTTTGACTCAGGTTGGTTTAACAAAATCACATAGGGTGTGTGAGTGGGATTTGAACCTAAGTTTTCAGATTTCAGAAACAGTGAGAGTTCTTTGATTATACCACATTGCCTGCCTTTCGCCGAACAAAAATAGCACAGACTATAAATATCATGCAGCTCTTAAGAAAATTAAAAAGGGAACCACACTAAATTTTCCTAAATGTTGATTCTGAGAGTCATTCATTTTAGAAGCAGTAAAACATGTATTTTTTACATTTCTCAACAATTCATCAATGACTGGAACTTCAAATAAACGAAATATATAAAACTTCAACTCTAACTTAATGGGCTTCCAACACAATCAGAAAAATCTTCAACATCATAAAAATGCACATAACAATAGAAATTCATTGGTCAGCTATACATAAAACCTTATTCTTTTCCCCCAAATTAAAGGAAAATTAAATCAGTTAGCTTAAGGATCAGTCAGCTACCAACAGGTATTATTAAATGGAAAAGCAAACTTTAGAAACACTCCTATTAAAATAAATAAGGAGCTTAATGATCATACTCAGAGACTAGTGAATGACTTTTCTTCTTTTTTTCTTTTTTTCTTTTTTTTTTTTACTGGTGAGTTAAGTTCCCATTCTACCATAAAACTCTGACTTTAAACTTTTTGGGCCAGAAGAACCTTATAAAAATAGTAAGGAAAAACAGAACAAGAAAAAAAAAGAGCGAAGGCTAGGGAAAACCCGGTGTCTTTTTCATCAAGTACACAGATCAGAAAGCAAAAATAAGATCTAAAATAGTAATAATGAGAAAGATGTAATATATTAAAAAAAGTCTATACGTCAAAAAGAGGTGCAGAAACTAGCATAATAAATACATTCAGTAAATGACTAAAGATCCTTTTGTAGTGTAGTAACAAATCTTTAATCCAAAGAGTTAATTATTAATTAATTATCAGTTTGAGATAAATCAATAGGTAATACGATCTTCAGACTTTGGTGATTATTTGCTGAATGATACACTGTTTAGAAATCTTTTTCTTTTGCACTTAGCCGCCAACCTTCTATTATAAGCTATAGCTTTAGTTGGATACAGTTTTCTGATTTTTTTTCCCCCCTCCTTATCGCTAAGGACAGAACTAGCCTCCTTGCTTTGCATCTCTCAACTCTGAAATCGCTTTAAAAGAATTGGGTCTTCTTTCACTGCCCAGTAGGTAAGAAGACTGCCAAAATTTCCATTATAGCATCCTATTTTTAGAGCCTTTGGAACTGGTCATCAAAACTGCGCTCCAAAGCTTGTTTGACCATCTTTAGGCTATACTTAAGCAAGAGGTTTAGCATTCGAAGTATGAATGCCTTTCCTAAAAACAAAAACAAAAAACACTGAGATTCAATCTGATTCAGTTAACATTTTAAAGGATTTAATTTTTCTTGGTTTCAGTCAAATACAAGAACATTTACTGGACAAAAGCGATTATTTCTGCACACAAGCATTTAAGATCACAACAATAACAAAATGCAATTGGGCAAACAAGGCATTTAAATGCTCCTGGCGGGCTGGAGGAAAGGGATAACCAGAGGGAGGGGGGGCGCTTCTTAAGACAAGCCCAGGAAAGAGACTGCAAAGGTGTGAATGGAAGGAAACAGCAACACCTCCCCCTCCCTTACCCCCAACCAGGGAGGCAGAAGGAGGGGGGAGGAGGGGGGGTACCCGGGGACGTGGAGGGGCTCAGCCTGGCCGAAGATCTCCTAGAGCCAGAGGGATGCAGGTGCGAGGGAAGGCGGGCTGGGGTGGGGGTGGGCAGCTGCCGCTCCGACGCCCCCTACTCCCTTTCCTTCCCTCCCTGCCTCACCTGGGCGTCCGGCTGAGGAGTCCAGGCTGCAGTCAGGGACCCGGTCGGGCTCCAGCCCCGCTGGCTGACATGGCCGCCTCCGAGCTGTCACAGCGCTGGGCTCTCCAGAGGCGGCTGGGGCGCTTCTGGTCAAGATCTTCCGCCCGCTCTGCAGGTTCCTCCAGACTGACTCGCGGGAGGGTAAAAGCCGACGAGCCGGAGGCCGCGGACCATAGAGCGCGAGTGGCTAGAGAAACCCCTCGGAGGTGCCACAACCATAGAGTGACGGCCGGCCAGCGTCTCCCCTCCCACTCTAGCTCAAGTCCCTCGGGCCAACCGAGAGGGGGAGGAAGCGGAAGTGGCTGGGAGGGACTAGTCTGCACGCGTAAGGAGCTATATTTACTTCCGCCCCGCGCCTTATCTGAAAGGTCGTGCGCCTGCGGCTTGCTGAATGAGGTTGCTGGTGGTGGTCCCGGCTCCAACTGCGGCTCCGGTTCCGACTGCGGCTCCGGCTCCGGCTTCAGCTCCAGCCGGGACAGTGAGGAGGCGAGGATGTGGGGGCCAGTGACTGGGCTTCCCGCGCGGTTGTCGATAGCTACCATGGCCGGAGCTTGCCTGCGCCGCCTCTGTGAGACCGGCCCGGGGTGCCTGACGCGGCCTCACCGGCTCCTATCCCAGTCGTGCCTGGAACCCGTGTCCTGGACAGTCGCGAAGTCGGAGGCGTCGCCGCGGAATATGACACGGCATAGGCTTTTCGCGGGCAGCGCGAAGGTGGCGGACACTGTGGTGCAGCTCCTGCAAGCAGGGCCTCCGGGAGCCGGCCCGCGGATCTTAGAGTGCAATCCCGGTGGGTGGGGGTGCCGGGGGGCGGAGGGGGAACCTGGGGATACCCACACCGGGAGGGGGCCTGCATCTCCTTCGGGCATCAGGCTTACTAAGCTCAGTTTTTTGTCCAGAGACTCTCATGTGTGCTCGGCCCACCGTGCTGAGTGGTGTGGGGCCATACGGAGAGGAGCAAGCTAGGGGCCCTGCCCCCATGGAGCTTAGATGCTAGTTGAGAATGCCCATGGCACTTGGCATACTTTTGCTTAACCCCTAGATACTGCCTCCCACTTCTTTGCCACAGGCAGGGCGGGAGAGATCTTGCTGTATGCTTCTTTACATATGCCCAACCCCGCTCCCATTCCCCTAACAACTGACGTGGTACTTAGTGCACAAAGCTTGGGTATTTGATAGTAATTTGCTGAGGTAAGACTGTCTTTTTTGTTAGCTTTGACCAGCTACGCCTTTTTTTGTCTAAAGATTTCAAGAATGTGGTTCATTTCCTAGCACATAGAGGTACCTTGTTTCTTCTCAGTGGACCTTTTAAGGGCAGTACAGCATAGACATAGGATCATAGATTTAGAGCTGGAAGGAACCCCTTCATTTTTCTGGTGAGGAAACTGAGGCAGAGAGAAGTTAAGTTGTTTACCCAAGATCACACAGGTAGTAAGGAGCCTTGCAAAAATCAAACTCACGTCCTCTGACTCTTAAATATGGTGCTTTTTCCATTACCCTGTGCTATCTAAAGACAACATAAAGTCCTTTACCTTTTCCTTGATATATAAATATGGTGCAGTCAATGAGCAAGCACTTATTAAGTGATTGCTAGATGCCAGACACTATATTAAGCAATGAAGATACAAAGAAAAAGCAAAAATAGTTCTTGCTATCAGGGACCTTACAGTCCTATAGAGGAGACAATGTATGTAAGTTCAAGACATTCAAGACAAATTCAGGGTAGATGGAAGGAAGCCTTAGAGGGAAAGACTCCCAGGAGGAGATGGCACTTAAGCTGAATCTTAAAGGAAGACAGGAATGCTAAGAGCTGAGGACAGAAAGTATTACAGGCATGGGTAACTGGCAGTGCAGAGGCACAGTAATAAGAGAGTATTATGTGAAGAACATCTAGGAAACCAGTATGACTAGATAATGACTAGAGTTTGTGGAGGGTGTTTAGTTAAGAGACTAAAAAGATAAGAGGCCAGATTCTAAAAAGCTTCAAATGAGAAAATAAGGGGTTATATTTGCTCCTAGAGGTTATAGGGAGACCTTAGAGTGGGGGTGGGGGTGGGGATGGGGTTCGAAGCACAGTGACATGATCAGACCTACACTTTAGGAAAATCACTTTGACAACTGAGTGCAGCATATTGGGATGGGAAAAGAGTTGAGCCTGGGAGACCAACTAGGATGCTCTAGGAGAGAGCTTTTGAGAGCCTGAATGAAAGTGATGACAGTGTGAGTTGAGATAAGAAAATGCATCTGAGAGATACTGCAGAAAAAGAAATTATTACATGATTTGGCAACTGATTTGGATAGGTGGGGGAAGAGTTCACTATGACTGAGCTTATGAACTTGGGTGTCTGACTGGAAGGATGATACGGTGGTGCCTTTGACAGCAACAGGGAATTTTAGAAGAAGTATGAGTTGTCTGGAGAAAGTTAATGAGTTGTTTTGAATTTGGTACATTGAGATGTATATGTGATATTCAGTTTGAAATGTTGGCCAGTTAAGTAATGTTGGGGTGTAGCTCAGAAAAGAGATCAGGGTTGGATAAGTAGATATGGAAATAGTCTTCATAGAGATGATAACTGAACCCATGGGACCTGATGAGATCCCCAAATAAGAGAGTATGTTGAGAAAACAGAAAAGGGTCCAGGGCAGAGCCTTGGGATATATCCATAGTTACTGGGTGTGATATGGAGGCAGATCCAGGAAAATAAAAGTCAGACTGGTAGGGAAACCTAGAGAGAACAGTCATAAAAACTCAGAGAAGAGAGTATTCAAGAGGACAAGGTAATTATCCCAGCCAAATGCTACAGGAGAGGTCAAGAAAGATGAGGAGTGAGAAAAGGCCATTAGAGTTGGCAGTTACGATTCTTCATTGGTATCTGAAGAGAGCTTTTTCATTGAATTAGGCCAAAAGCCAGTTTGTAGAGGATTTAGAAGAGAGAGGGAAGGTAGAAAGTGGAGGCATAGATTGATTGTAGAGGATTTTTCAAGGAGATTAGATGAGAAGGAATATTGAGTCAGCATAATGGAATCTATTATGAGTTGGTTTTTTTTTTTTAATGGATGCAGAGACTTGCATGGGTTTGTAGGCAGTAGTAAGGAGTCAGTAAATAGGGAGAGACTGAAGATTAGAGAGAGAATGGGTGTGATAGTGAGGGCAGTCTGCTAAGCAAGATGGGAAGAGACTGGATCAAAGATACATGTAGAGATACAGAGATACACAAAGATACATTGGAAAGTAGAAGGGACACCAAAGACTGGAGTGATGAAGAAATAGTAAGGAACAATGTCAGATCAATGTGAGATGAGAGGATAAATAGTAGCTTGTTTAGAATGACCTTAATTTTTTTTGGTGAAGGTATGAGATGAAGTCCTCAGCAGACAAGATGAGGTCTGACAGTATCTTTAGATTCAGAGAGAATAGGTTTGAAATAACCACATGGTGAGAGGGATAAAGAATCAGCTAGGGAGGAGAGCAGTAGAGTTACTTTGGTATAAAGTCTGGACAGTATAAATTTATAAAGACTCAGTCAGCAGGATTTCCTAGTTTCCTCCATTACTGTTGAGCAGCACATAGATAGGAAGGAAGCAGGTAGATGCTGGCAGTGATACAGAGTTAGGAGTGAGGGGAAGCAGAATCACAGAGAAGACAAGGGATCAAGGAATTTGAAAGTGGAAGGTAAGTTTTGAGTTGAACTGGTTCAACAAGGGTTAGCAATTGGAAAAGGAGGGATGTATAACTAGAACAAAGGTGATACCCTGGGATGATACTGAGGGATGGAGGGATTGAAAATTATGGTGAGGGCAAAGAGCAAGTTTAGGAGGAAGAAGAAGGTATAGAGAAAGAATGAAAAATAAAAGATTATACTCAGCTAACTCTGGTTTGAATGTACTTCAAAGGAGGAAAGTGATGGTAGTGATGATGGTAGAATGAGGGTCTAAGAGTGGTAAGAAGAAGCAAAAAATGGGCTAATGTCCCCACTTGGAACAGTGAGTGGGGGGTGGGGAGGGGATATAAGTGAAAATGTACTAAAAGTATTAAAAGGGGTGTCCAGGGATTCAGCTTAGCCAGAGGATAGTTCTCAGTGAGGAAAAAAAATTATCAAATCAGAACCTAGGTTTGAATCTTGCCTCTGATGCTTACTGCTTTTGTGATTTTAGCCAAATCACTTTACTTCTCTTGGTCTTAGTTTCCCTATCTGGAAAATGAGCTAAATGATATCTAAGACAGCCAGATAGCACAGTGAATAGTCCTGGGCCTGAAGTCAGGAGACCTAAGTTCAAATAAATAATTGATACATGGCGTCTTAGAGTTTTGACATAGGGGATTGTCATCCTTGGAGCCAGATAGACTTGGGTTCAAGTCTTGCCTCTAAAATGTAATGGCTTTGTGACCCTAGGCAAATCACTTAACCTCTCTGCCTCAGTTTCTTCAACTGTAAAATGGGGATGATAGTAATGCTTATCTCCCAGGGCTGTTGGTGATTAAATGAGATAATATTTATAAAGTGCTTAGCACAGTGCCTGACATAAAGTAGGCGCTATATAAATGTTTTTTTCCTCCTTACTCCCTGTCATCTTTAAATATATGGTTCCTTAGTTTTTTTAGATTTTGTTTTTCGAGGCAGAATGCCCTCAGATAATCACTAATTATTGGACTTCGGGCAAGTAACTTCTGAGCCTCAGCTTCCTCATCTTTAAAAATGAGGATAGTAATGCCTAGAGTACTATTTTTATCGGATTGTGAGGCTCAAAGGAGACAAGGTATAAAAACTACTTTAAGGATAGGGGCATGGGATTTCATTGACATACACAGGGAAGGCTCAGGTGAGGGCACTGCCTCTACCAATAACAAGTCAGCACCTTCTCCGCCATTCTTAGCTTTAGAGCAGGCATTGTTGATCCTTTCTTGTGGCATGGACCCCTTGGGAAGAATGATGAAACCCATGTTAAATCATGTTAAAGCACAAATACATAGGAATGCAATGGAAACCAGTCGTATTGAAGTAAAGATGTCATTTACACCCCCCCCACCCCCCCGTCCAAGTACACATACCTTGAAATGTATCTATGGGCCTGTTGGGTGTTATATATGGGGTCAGAATACCATGGGCCCAGGTTAAGAACACCTGTTTTAGAGAGTTGCCTGCAGCACTGAGGTTAACTGACTTGCCCAGGTTCACAAAGCCATTATATTTTAGAGGCAAAACTTGAACCCAAGTCTTTCTGGCTCCAAGGATGACAGTCCACTATGTCAAAGCTCTAAGATGCTATGGATCAATTATTGTTTAAGATAATGATTATGTATTATTTCAATAAATATTTATTATATTATTATCTTATCCCAGTTCAAGTTTCATTCATTGCATGAACTCTGGGATTATAAAATTCCTTTAGCCTCTTTCCTTACCTTAGTGTGACAAAATGAGTTAGAAGTTTAAGATTTAAATTGAAAGTGCAGTGGTTCCAAATTGCTGTGGGAATTTAAAAAAAAAAAATCAAAAACATTTCCTGCCCATCACTGCTAGATGATGAACAGTCAGGGAGAAGGGCAATATGTCCATATATTTCAGATATATGAGCTATGTGGACATGTCCATATGTCAGCAAAAACAAGACAAAATAAAAACCAGTATAATATGGTTTTTGGGGAAAGGCATGAGTGTCTAGGGAATGAGGAAAAGCTTCATTTTGAAGATGGTACTGAGTTGAACTTTCAAATAAACTCGGGATCCTTAGAGAGGTGAGAAGAGAGTTCATTCCAGACATAGGAGAAAGCCATGCAAAGATACTAAGACAAGAGATGGAATGCTATGTATAAGGAACAGGAAGAAGGCCAGATTAGTTGACTTTGTATGTATGTATGTATGAAGGGAAGTACTGTGTGAAATAGGTTGGTGCCAGGTTGTGAAAGACTTTAAATTTCAAACAGAAGAGTTTGATAGTTGATCCTAGAAGTAATAAGAAGCCTTAAGTAAGGGAATGATGGTCAGACCTGTGCTTTAGGAAAAACACTATACTAATTGGTGGATAGATGAGGGGTGGGATGAGGGGGGTGGAAAGACACTTGTGGCCTTGAGGCAACGTGTGGCTTTCCAGGTCCTTGGGTGTGGCCTTTTGACTGAGTTCAAGTTTTATAGAACAAATTCTTTTATTAAGGGGATTTGTTTTGTGAAGTTTGGATTCACTCAAAGGACTGAACTTTTTATATGTATATGCCTTGCCTTGTCAATGTAGGTTCTATCTCATTTTTCTATTCATAATCTCAATGCCTGGCATATATTAGGCATGTAATAAATGCATGTTAGCTGATTGATTGATTGAATGAAATAAAAGAAAGTAACACCTCCTAAATAGAAAATTATGTTATTCCTCAAAATGACAAACTTTTCTTTTCACACCATAGGGCCTGGACTTATTACCTGTGCATTACTCAATGCTGGTTTACAAGTGGTTGCACTTGAAAGTGACCTGACTTTTCTTCCATATTTAACGGTATGTCGTTTTAGTTTCTTAAAATTAATGTATGCAAAAAAGATTAGCTTTCTCTGATCTAGGAAAGTGGAACTAAGTACTTGTGGTTCATTTTATTTCTCTTTAGTTTGGTTCCCTTTTCTTCTAAGAAAGTCTACTGCAAAGGACATTAGACAGAAGACTTGTATTCCTTTTTTCCCTTAACTTAAGAATATTATGAACTTAACCATCATCAAAGAAAAATAACCAAACAAGGAATAAAATAATACATAAAATATGTTCTAAAGTAAGTTTTAAGTTTTTAAAAAATAATAATAGCTAGCATTTAGCTGCTTATTGACTGACTTTCCAGTTTTCTTAGTCTTTACTTCCCTTCATATACTCTGTGATCAAGCAGCACTGGTGTTCTTACTCTTCCTCCTACATGAAGCTCCATCTCCTGACTTGTTGCCTTTTCCTTGGCTATTCCCCAAGCCTGCCTGGAATGTTCTCCCTCCTTATCTCTGCATCCAGGCTTCTTCAGCTTCCTTCTGCAAGATGACTTTCCTCGTCTCCCCCTCTGCTGGTGCCTGCCCTCTATGATTATCTTCCTTTATCTCTCTATATACATACATATTGTGTATGTATATATGTCTTTGTGTGTGTGTCTGTGTGTGTCTGTGTGTGTATTCAATTCTGTGTATTCAGTAGAAAAAGTCGCTCTCATACAAATTAAAAAAAATTTTTTTAATACTTTTAGGAGACATAGTTATTTCCCTTTCTTTGTATTGTCATTGCTTAGCACAGAGCCTGGTAGATAGTAAACACTTAATAAATGTTTGTTTCCAGCCTCAGACTTTTATTGTGTCCCTGGGAAGGGGGAAAGGAAGGAAATAAGCATTTATATGGCACCTGCTGCATGCCAGGTACTGTGTTAAGTGCTTCTTACAAATGTTATCTCATTTGATCCTCACAACAGTCCTGTGATGTAGGTGCTGATATTGTCCCCATTATATATTTGAGGAAACTGAGATAAATAGAGGTTAAGTGACTTGCCCAGGGTCACACAGCTAGTATAAGTGTGAAGCTAGATTTGAACTCAGATCTTTCTGACTCCAGGCCCAGCTATTCACTATGCCACTAACTGCCTCTAAAATAGTTAAATCTCTCTCAGAGAGGGCAGGATCGGGTAGGGGTGGGAGCTGAGGAAGGGAAGGGAATAAGTATTGACATACCATTATATGCCAAGCAGTATGCTAAGAGCACTTTTACAAATATCTCACTTGATCCTCTCAATAACCCTGAAAGGTAGGTGCTATTATTATTCCCATTTTACAGTTGAGGAAACTGAGGCAAACAAAGGTTAAGGGACTTGTCCAGGAGCATACTGCCTGTGAAGCCTAGTGTCTGATGCCAGATTTGATTTCAAGATTCCTGACTCCACACCTACTGTCTACTTTACTACCAGCTGCCCCTGATATATGAGAGATGTGGTGAAAGTAGAAAAGACAGTATTTGCTAATGGCTTGGTTCTATGGGAGGAGTGAGAGTTAGGAGCCTAGGATGACCCAGGTTGCAGGCCTGGGTGCCTGGGGAGATGGTGGTAACATCCGCAGTAGAGGGGGAGGTTGGAAGAGGGTACAGGGTTGGGGGAAAAGTTAATGAATTATGTTTTGGACATTTTAAGTTTGAGATGTCCAAAAAGGAAGTTGATGATGCAGGCCTCGAGCTCTGCACAACAAACTGGAAGCTTGCCAAGTAATCAGAAATGTATTGATGCAGCTAGAACTTTGATTCACAATTTATTTAAGGTAATAACCTTTGTTTCTGCAATCTTGGTGTCAGCTAAGAGAAAACACGATACCATGTTTTCATGATGTGATGATCAAGCAACAAGTATTGAGTTTACTATTATAAGCAAAAAGAAAGACAATGCCTACCCTCAAGGAACTTGCATTCTAACGGGGGGAAACAAACATACAAAAGGAAGCTGAAGATGGGCTGGAGGAGGTCTCTCTAGAGCCTCTCTAGACACACAGCTGAGAGGGGAATAAAGGTTGGTCACCTTGTGCTCCTCCCCAAAGTGGAGGCCCTGGGAGGAACTCAACAATGGGAGAAGGGAGAAGGGGGCTGCCATGGCAGAGAGATGTTTCAGGGTGAGAAAGCTGTAGGGGATGATGGATTGCATGTTCCTGGGTAAGATTACAGCTGAAGTTTGAGAAGTCAGAAGTATAGTCAGGAGGGAGCTTTGGAGTGTTGACTTGGTCAAGTAAGGAAACTCACCCTTACTGTATGTGTGACCCTGGGAACAACACTTTCTATTCACTGTTCTTTGCCATGGACCTGATTTAATTAGAGCTTACCAATCTCCATGTTCTGGTCCAGAGCTATGTTTTTATTAGTGTGTTGAACTCCCAATGTGGAAACTCTCTTCACTGATAGAGATCAGCAACTTATTTGTAAGTTAGAGCCATATAGAGCTACCTGAGACTTGTCTGGTCACACAACTACTATGTGTCAGCACCAGGACTGAAAACTCCATGGTTGAAGATGGCCTCTGTTCATAATGTTATGTTACCTCAGTAAAACTTGATAAATAATTCTGAGGAGAATATTCTGTAGGGTTTGCAAAGAATTTAAAATTTTGATTTTTTTATCCTAGACCTTAAAAAAACATCCGGGTAGACAACTAGAAGTAATCTACTGTGACTTCTTCCATCGAGATCCCAGTAATATAACAACACCACCACCTGCTATGTTTACCGAAACACTTTTCAAGAATTTGGGAATAAGCAAAGTTCCTTGGGCAGCAGGTAAATTTTGTCATTTCTTAAAATAAACTTAATAAAAGTTTTGCTAATTAACTCCACTGACAAGTTTTCAAATATGTTAGGTTTATGTAACTAGCATGTTAGTATATGTGAATGAAATAGAAAACAGATATTTTTTACTTTAATATAGAAGTATTCTGGATATCTGAATATTCAGCTTTAACAAGACTTTCTTTGTTTCTATGTAGAGAGCATTCTGCTTAGCATTGAAGGGAGGATTCACCAAGACAGAAACTCTGTCCTTATTGCTACTCAGTCTAGTAGCGTATACATTATGCTGCTATATTAACATTTTAATACAAAATGATGAATACTAAGACTGGGAGCTAGGTTCTGACTAGTGAGTAGGATTTTAACTAGTAAAGAGAGGTGGCTTTGGAGAGGAACAGAAGAATGGCAGGAAGGTGGCATTCTACACAGAGTGAGCAGGAACATAGATATGAGACATATAAAAGGGGACAATAAGTAAAGTTTGATTAGAATATACCGTATTTAGAAGATGAGATTTTTCCGGAGAGAAAAGACTGGCCAAAGACATGGAGGGGCTTTAATGTACAAGTAAGTGTACATTATCCACTTATCCACTGTCCACTGCCGCTAGATGGCACAGTGGATAGAACACTGGGCCTAGAATCAGGAAGACATTAGTTCAAATGTGGCCTCAGATACTTACTAGCTATGTGACCCTGGGCAAGTCACTTACCCTTGTTTGCCTCAATTTCCTCATCTGTAAAATGAGCTGGAGAAGGAAATGGCAAACCACTCCAGTATCTTTGCCAAGAAAACCCAAAGGGGGTCACAAAAAGTCGGACGTGACTAAAAAACAACTAAACAACAACAAAAGTGATATAAATGGTATTCAGTAATAAAAGGGAACCATTGAAGGATTTTGAGCAGGAATATCATGATCATATTTATGTGACAACAATGTAAATGAATTGGGGGGGGATTGGATAGGGGCAGGAAGACTAATTAGAAAGTGATTGCAGTAGTCTTGACTTGTGGTAATGAAGCCCTGACTTGTGTTGTGGGCAGTAAGAACAGAGGAGAAGCATGTTTAAATGTTTAAAGCATGTTTAAAATATTTCATACATCAAAATGTTAACCTGAAATGTCATCTTTCTATATTAAAGAGAGAGGCTCTGAGAAGTTAGGATTTAGTATCCTGAAGCTAAGTATGTAGAATTTTCTGTAGACTGATTTGTTTGTTAATTTGTTAATCTTTTAAAATCCTGTTACAAAGAAAAAATGTGCAGAATTTTTACTTACGTATTCTTGCATGTTTTCATAACAGATGTTCCTGTAAAGATAGTTGGATTCTTCCCAACTAAAACCGAAAGAACTGTACTTTGGAAACTTTTGTATGACCTCTATTCTTGTAGTTCCATATATAACTATGGACGGATAGAATTGAATATGTTTATTAGTGAAAAAGAATACAAGGTATGTTACTTAAAAGAAACTGCTAACTATATTTGGTAACTCTTTAATGAGTCTCCTAGAGTTAGGAAGATCTTGGTTTGAATCCCACTTCAGACACTTACTAACTTGGTGATATGCTGAAAGTCATTTAATCTTTCTGAGCCTTGGTTTCCTTATTTGAAAAGTGGGAATGATAATAGCATTTGTCTTACAAGATTTGTGAAAAACAAATGAAATAATATATTTAAAACACTTTGCAAACCTTAAAGCACTGTATAAATGTGAGCTGTTAATAGTCTTAATATTTATAATTACATTTTAGGACTGATCACATTTGAGTCCGTTAAAGACATAAATCAGTGCTTACTATGTGTCAGCCACTGTGCTAAGCACTGTGACTGCATATGCAAATACAACAGATAATGCCCTCAAGGAGCATACATTCTAACGGAATGTTCCACAAACGGAAACTGGAAATGGGGGAATGGAATGGAGACAAGGGTACTTCAGGGCAGGAGCACAGTAGAGAAAGTCCGGAGTACAGCCTGAAAAATAAGTGAGATGTAGCTGGACTGGGCATCCACCTTAAATGGAGGTTCTACGAGCACCTGTCCAATCAGAGGTAGAGGCTGAAGGGCAAAAGGTACTTCTAATGTTTGAATTTCGGGGCTGGAGTGAGGCTTCAGAATGAAGAGCTGGTTCAAAGTAGAAGAGTGGGAGTGCAGCCTGGAGAGGAATGAGGAATCATATTGGGGTTGGTTGTCTTAACTTTCCACATGTCAAATTTTAGACTTCACTCTTTATCTGAATAATATGAGGGTAAGTAGGAGACTCATGTTGTAAGGTAATAAATACCTTTTCTTTTTGTAGCAACTTGTAAGACCTCAAAGTGCAGTAGATAGTTGATCTGTTAAGTCTGAGAACATCCCTATAATGCATAGATTGGTATTGTTTTCTGCACATATGGATAGGGATGCTTGTTTATGGTCTGGGATAATAGAAACTCTAAAGCAAAATTCAGTGAAGTAATCAAATGTTATTCAGGGAATGGTAATTACGGGAATAGACTTCAAGATTGTTGAACTTGAGATCAGTACCATGCCCAAATGCTTGCAAATCCTAAACTTACTTGTCCCCTGTGCCTGGCACATTGGAGACACTTGATAAATGCTTGATAATGTATTGATTATATAACAATTATCATTTTATCTTTATTAGGAGATTTTCCTCATAGCATGCTATAGTGAAAGTAATTTTTATATAGTTTAAAGAAAATCTGTTTTGCTTAAAGATTAAAGTTAAATACACCAGATAGATTTTCAGCAATTAAGTCAGAGACAAAGCCCAGTAAAATAATAGATATTAACATTTTTGCTTCAGTTCTTAATTTTTAGCTAATTTAGGTTCATAGCTTTTATTTTCAGATATTAGAATAGTGTCAGACTTGGATGTTAAATGACTGTGAAGGATGTTAATGATGTGTAACTTATAAATTTATTCCTTTGTCAGAAAATCATTTCAAAGCCAGGTGAAAAGGATTATCAAACCCTGAGTGTTCTCTGGCAAACAGCTTGTGAGATAAAGCTTTTGCATATGGTGAGTAAAATTGTTCTTATTGGTAAATATCTCTCTCGATCCTAGCTAGTATCCTGTGTCTTACCTTTTCCTTATATCAGGACTCCCAGAAAAAACTATCTATACCTTCCGTCTACAGTTCTTTTCTCTCACTTCTCTGTCTCTTGCAGTCTGGCTTATGGCCTCATCTACTGAAACTGCTCTCTGCCAAGTTAGCAGTGGTTTCTTAATTGCCAGATGTGGTATTCTTTTTTCAGGCCTTATTCTTCTTGACCTTACCTCTTTGCTGTTCCTTAAACAAGATACGCCGCCACGACTAGAATTTTCTCCTTCCTTGTCTACAACTCCTGGCTTCCCGGGCCTTCTGCAAGTTTTAGCTAAAATCCCACCTTTTATAGGAATCCTTTCCTATCCACCTTAAAGCCAATGCCTTCTTTCTGAGATGATCTCCAATTTATTCAGTATAGATCTTGCTTGTCCTTAGTTGATTTCACATATCTATCCTGTTAGACTTTGAGCTCCTTGAAAGCAAGGATTCTTTTCCTTTCGTTGTATTCTCAATACTAGCACAGTGTTTGGCACATAATCGGTGCTCAGTAAATGTTTAATGAATGCTTATTGACTTGACTAGACCTTCCTCTAGAATTTGATACTGTTGATTATGGTCTCCCAAATATCACTCCTCTCCACTTTTTAAATGACTGCCCTTTTTTAGTTTTCCTTATATATTTCTTGCTGCTTCTTATTGGAACAGCTTCTTATTGGTCTGCTTGGCTAGATTTTCATCCCTGACAAGCCCCTTAGAAATGATTGTCTCTGAAGCTCTGTCCTGAGCACTCTTCTTTCTTTACCTCTCTCTCTCTCTCTCTCTGACTAAATGGAGAGGTTGAACTTAGACATAAAAGAAAAAAACTGTGTAAGTGGAATTTGTTTTTTCTTTTTGTTTTGTTTTCATTTCGTATGATCTTTTCTTGAAGAGATCATTATTCACAAGATTAAATAATCAATTATTAAATGCTTACAGTGTTCCAAGTACTATGCTGAGTGCTAGGAATACATACACAAACAGAAATAGAGTCTTTCCTTTAAGGAGCTCACATTTTAATCAGGGAGGATATCATTTAAAAGGAAGCTTTCTGAAAGGGGTGGGAAAGCAGGGAAAGAGTTACCTGCTTAGGTCCAGGGTGAGGAAGGAGGACATGGATGGCCTGGGTATCCTCCTTTTTTAGGAATAACCAGCCCATCAGAGGCACAGGGGTAGAGGATACTCCCAGGGTGAGAAATCCAAGAGTGGAGTGAACTTACAGGGTGAAGACATTTGTATGACTGGTAGAGGAAGTACAGAGGAATGAAGTCATTTCCAAAAAATTACAATTATTGTATTAAAATCTTATTTTAAAAATGTCAGCCCAATTTAGGTAAAATAGATATAAGGCAGGAACTTGTTTGGATGGAAGCGGCATTAAAATAGTTTGGGGGATTTGTTTCTTTGTTTTCCCAAGGAGCCTTTATCGTCATTTGTAACCTTTAAAAATGGAGAGCTGACATCACTAAAGAGCAAGGTAAGAAGCAGTGCTTTATAGACATGATCAGTGTGTTGATTTGTCTTATATAACTACTTTGTTACAGGGGAATGTTTGTGGGGAGAGGATTGGAAGAATCATTAAGAAATGTCAGCTATGTAGAAAATACATTTTACTTCACCAATGAATGAATTCCTAGCTGTGTGACCCTGGGCAAGTCACTTAACCCCGATCGCCTAAGCAAAGAAAAAAAAAAAAAGAATGAATTCCCTATACTTTTTTTTTCTTCAGAGGGAAAACTTTTCTTTTAATGTACTTTTGCTTTGAAAAAAATAGGAATTTTTGACTTTTTTTGTATTTAATTAGGAATGCTTAAAATATCAGTGTGTTGGAAATTAAAACTTTTTTATATTTAAAACAATCATACCCAAGAAATTGTGAAAAGTATTATATTTTAAAATTTGAATAACATGACCCATGAAAGCAATGTTTCCATTTCTATGAAATTATCTGGAGTAAAATAATAGAATATTAAAAATCCTCAATTCCCCAGAGAGAATAAAGAATATATCCACAATGACTACCACAGTATAAATGAAAAGATTCCTTAAAGGAAGTTGAACTCTTGAACATTTGAAAAGAATTATTATTATCATTATCAGATGTAGGCATTGTGGAATATGTTTTTTGCTTAATTGTTTTTCTTTGTCACTAATTGAGGGCCCATGGAGGTGTATGAGAAGTGACTGATGTAAGCATCAGTAAAATATATTAAAATTTTCATTACAAAATGTTTAGTGCATCCCATGCCAATCATGTCAATATACTGCATATTATAGAATAGAATTCAGCATTAGGCAGATCATCTTGGTTCCTATCTAAGAGACTTTGGTTGCTGAAGTATACCCCCAAAATCATTATAAAATAGTCCTACATTGTATGCTCCTGTGAAGAGTCCAGCTCCCTGCCTCTCCCCCCACCAGTTAAGATAACCAGTCTCTCCAGCAGAGATGTGTCTTAAGAGAGTGAGGTCTAGAAGACTCAAAAAAAGTCACCTATACTTGAGCGCTCATCTGGTAACTTAACAGGTAAGTCTAAATTCTTTGAGGCAGACAAGTATTAGGTGTTTCATACCATTCAGTATAATTCAGTATAAGAGTCATACCTCCTGAGAAGTCAATGGGTTATGATTATAATTTTTCAAGAGTTTTTATTTTAGCCGGTTTCCAAATTTGTTAGTGTTAAATACGTCATAAAGATTACTTTCTCCAGACATGTCGACCCAATTGAAAGACTAAAAGAGCTCTTGATGCTGTTCATTGGCTTGAAGTCAGTAGAAATTTCTGATAGTACAGTTATAACCTTGATTTTTTATTTTAGTATTCATTAATGTAAGCTATTGTAAGTTAGTAAATTAAGTTGGTAAAGTAAGCTAATGTAAGTTAGTAAAATTATATTTAGGTGACTTAAAACCTACAAAACTGGTCAGGAGAATACTGAGTTTCCTTTTTTTTTTTTTGGCAGCATCCTAAGGTATTGCTGATTTTTTTAAATGACATTAGTACAATTTAGGAACTGTATCATAGATTATTCCTAGAGGGACTTCACAGGCCATCTAGTCTAGCCCTCTCATTTTACAGATGAGGAAACTGAGGTGCAGTGAGGTGAAGTGATTCGCACAGGTTCACCCAGGCAGTCAGCGGTAGAGAGAGGGTTTGAGCTTAAGATTTCGCTCTTCCTCTCCTTCCCCTGCTTCTGACCCAGAGTCTCAGATGAATTGAAACAGGGTCAGGTTCTGGTCCTAGCAATATTTTTTGTCTAAGTTTATCTTCTTCTTTTTCTTTATTCTCTCCTTCAGGAATTAAAAAACAAGCACCTGTGTTTTATTGAATTAACTCCTCGAAGAAATTTATTTACGAATAATTTGACACCTGTAAACTCATATAATTTTATATGTCTGGTTAAACAGTGTCTTAACAAGAGCAAGTCTAAATTAATTGATATATTTAAGTAAGTACTAAAAAGGGTGAGTTCATTTGAGAATTGATATTTCATTCATATTACAGTACTAGTTTTGTATATTTGGTTAGCTTAGAATGAGATACTGTATCCTTATTTTCTCCTCCACTCCAATCACATATTTCTCTCATTCTTTCTTTCCCTTCTCTGAAATAATAAATCTCCTTTATTGAATAAATCATCGGTGGTTAATTAAATTTAACATACTTTGTCTTTGCCCTTAATTAAATTGAAGGAACAGCCTATTGTTTGTTGGGGCATAGTAGCTGGAATTGGAGTTAGAAGACCTGAGACTTCATGACTATATGCAAGTCACTTAACCTCTCTGAACTTCAGTTTCCATATCTATGAAATTAAGATTCAGTGGCCTCTCGGGTCCCTTGAAATTTTATATCTATTGATCCCTCTCACTAAAGTGGAGAGAATGAGGGGCAGCTAGGTGAAGCAGTGGATAGAGCTCTGGCCTTGGAGTCAGGAGGACCTGAGTTCAAATGTGGTCTCAGACACTTGACACTTAACTAGCTGTGTGACCCTGGGCAAGTCACTTAACCCCAATTGCCTAGTCAAAAAAAAAAATCCTGATTAAAGTGGAGAGATTGAGCACTGCCTCTTGTATATCTTACCACCCGGTTGCTTCTCCTCTCCTAGTTCATTCTCTATCCCACCTCTGCCTTTTCTAAGCTGAAGGTGTGAGATTGTTGGAACTCCAGTTTGCTGTCCACCTTGTGAAGAGAAGCAGGCAAGGAGCAAGGCTAGACAGCTCCCTGCTTCAAAATCCTGGGCCCCACAGGTCCATGAACCTGAAACTTGAAGGAAATTCTAAATGTAAAACCATACAATTTTAGCCATTTCCCTGCCTCCTGCTTTCTCCTAAATATACACACGTACTTAAAATAGTCTCTTTATAAGCCCCACTTATAACAGATAGAATTAGCTTAACAACAATAATAATATGTGGCACTTATGAAGCACTTTACAATTGGCACATGCTTTATGTCTAAAGGGTGTTCCAAAAGTCTTAGTGCAGTTTTAAGCTGTAATAGCTTTTTAGGATACCTTGTGTAGTCTCATTTTGATCCTCACACCAACTTATGAAGTAGGTAATGCAAGTTTTCTATTATTCCATATTTAAATTAAACCTTATTAGAGGTCCAAGGATAGCATATCACACACTCAGTGCTATATGTAGAGAAGATGTGATTTCCAATTAGACATCTTTTGAAACATGAAGAATTTTGGCAGTTTTTAGTAAAAGAATCAATTTTAATATATGTCCTACCAAAGCGAACCCAACTGTTTATTCTTCCCTTCAAATTGAACCCGATATAGAATATCCCTATTTCTGTTGAGATACCCCACCATCCTTCAATCACCCAGGTTTGCAACGTTGGAATTATATTTAACTCTCATACTCAGTCAGCTACCAAGTCTAGCCAATTCTATTTCTACAATATCTCTTGCATTTGTCCTCTCTATTCAGTCATGTTGATCCCTTACTCAATAAAATCCAGTGGCTCTGTATTTGTGAAGGATCAATTCAGAGGATCACAGCAAGCTAGGATCCTCTGTCGTGACACTTAAAGCCCCTCATAACCTGAATCCTACCTGCCTCTCCAGCTTAGTTATCCAGTTTCTTCTTCATGTACTCTCAAGTACAGTCAAACTGGCCTACTTACTATTCTTCACCTCTGACATTCCATTCCTTGTCTCATACCTTTTCCTTGTCTGTCCTCCATACTTGGAATCATTCCCTCCTCACCTCTGCCTATGAGAATCCCTAGTTTCCTTCAAACGTCAGCTCAAATACTGCCTCCTACGTGATGTTTTTCCTGATCTCCCTGATAGGTATTTATCATGTGTGTATATGTGTGTATGTATGTATGTATGTATGTATATATACATGTCTCCTCCAACCAAATTAGAGTTCCCTGAAGGCAGGGAATGTTTCAGTATGTGTTCAGGAGAGGGGGCTAGATATATAGATCTGGGAGCCATCTGCATAGAGATGGTAATTAAACCTATGTGAGCCAGTGAGGTCACCTAGAGAAAGTGTAGAGAGCAAAGCAAAGATGATTTAGGACAGAACCTTAGGGCTCTAGTTAATCTGTAAGTAGCCAGGCTCTTTGCTCAAGATCAAAGTGAAGCAGTCCTGCCCTTAAGGAGTCTGTATTCTCTTGGAGAAGAGACAAGGACGGATGTGCAAAATAGATACAATGTAATTTGGTGGTGCCAAACCCTGATAGGGGATCAGGAAAATCTTCAGGTAATCAGACAGTCAACAAGCAGTTTTTAAAGTGTTTACTAGATATGAGCACTACTGTGTGCTAAGGATACAAAGAAAGACAGCAACAGCTCTTGCCCTCAAGGAACTTACATTCTAATTGGGAGATAACATGGGTATACAAAGTATGTACAGAGTAGATGGAAGGTACTCTAAAAGGGGTAATGGGGGGACCAGGAAAGGGACAGTTTCTGCAAGAGCTGAGTCTTGAAGAAAGACAGGAAAACTAAGAAGCAGGCAGAGGTGAGGGGGCAGAGCATTATAGGAATGACAGAGAGCCAGTGGAAAAGCATGGATTTGAGAGGCAATTTGTTATATATGAAGAACAGTAAGAAGGCCAGTTTGGATGGATCATGGTGTGTGTGAAGGGGAGTGATGTGTCATAAGGGCTAGGAAAGTAAATTGAGGCCAGGTTCTGAAGAGCTTTGAATGACAGACAAATAGGGAAATGTACATTTGAACCTAAAGGAGATAAAAAAAAAAACAAAAACCCTGGTATTTATTGAGAAGTAGAAAATAACACGATCAGAGCTGCACTTTTGTAGCATCCCTTTGGTAATTGTGAAGGATTGATTTGAGGTAGGGAGATCAAATAGAAGGCTATCCCAAGTGTAGACTAGAAGTCATGAGGGCTTGAATGGGGGCAGTGGCTGTGTGAGTGGACAGAAGGGGGTGGTTGTGAAATTTGTTGTGGAGATAGAAGCAGCAAGATTTGGTAAGTGATATGATATGTTGGACTTTTGAACTGGGTAACTGAAAAGACAGGTAGATCCTTCGACAGGAATAGGGAGTTTCAGAAAAGAGGTAAGTTTGGTGGGGGGGAGGTTTGAAAGATAATTAGTTCTATGAATGGTTTGCCATAGCTGAGGAGTCTTAACCCTGGCATCCAGTCATTTGCTGTTTAATAAGTCTTGGTTTCCCAGACTTCCTTCATGACTCAGTTCAAATCACTTAAATCCAATTTGTTTGCATGTTATAGCATCACCTCCCTGATGTCATGGTTTTCTTCGTGAATAAAGGACAAACAACAGCAACAAATACCACGTATTTTAGGAGGGCTTTCTTGGTCCTCCCAGTTCCTAATGCCTTTACCTCTCAGATTGCTTTCCATCTAGATACTCTTTTATCTGCTTTGTTGTTTATATGTTGTCTTCCACTTTAGAGTATAATCTCCTAGAGGGCAAGCACTGTTTTTTTGGCTTTCTTTTTATTGTCAGTGCTTAGCACATAGTAAGTGCTAAATAAATGCTTATTTACTTGACTATTAAGATAGAGCATCAGTTTCATTTTTTGTTTATATTGTTTGGTACTTGCCATGTAAAAAGTCTTCCTGATCTTCACGAAATACTAACAGTATAGAGGCATGAGGCTTTTGATTACTGTACAGATCTATGACCTGCAGTTTCTTAATTCTGAACCATATTTTCCACTATATTTTTCTCCATTCTTCTTCATGTTACTTCTTTGACAATGAAATCAACAAGTATCAAAATATAATAGATGTGCCTTAAATGTTAGTATTGAATTTGGAGGCTCTTGTTGAGTTTGTCACATAATTTCTCTGCTTCTTCATCCAATGCAGTAGACATTGGCACACAGTGGTTCTTTTGTTTACTCATGTTCATCATGACTGTCAGCAAGAAAAGATTACCAGGTATCCCATGAAATGATGTTTATTTTGCCATACATTGAACCCCGATTCTTTCAGCTCCTATATTGACCTCTCCAAAGTGAACCCATGAGTACTCCTTTCATTTAGTTGAAATTTCCTTATGTTTTCAAGTTTGATTTATAGTGATAGTGTTAGTATCAATGAGGTTCAATTCCTCCAGCATTATAGCAGTTTGTCATTGGGCAAAGATCTTACATTTAGAATACCAACTGTTAAGTGAATGTTTATTAGTGGTATAAAAATTATGTGTGATTGTTAATGCCCTCAGCCACTGTCACTTACCAAAAAATGCACTGCTTAATTTGCCAACTAGCTAGTGATGAATTCCTCCATATTCAGCCAAGCTAGTTCTAGCAGAGCATGTGCAATCTTTTATGAGAACTTCACAGAAGTTTTCCAGCTTGTTGAAAGTACCAGAGTTTTCACTCTTTTGGCACAGCCTTGGAGAACCCAGGGTAGCCTTCACACCATAATTTGGTGTTATAGAACAACTTTCTGCAGATATAGTGTTAGAAGTACAGTTGAATTTGGGATGTTAATGCTAAAGGAAGCCTGATGTTTTGAGTAGAAGTATGAGAGATGAGCACACAGAAAATGACAATTTTGCAAAAAGAGTTTACAAAAGAATATGATTAGATTATCTCCTTCTTTAAGTTCAAACCTTGTATTTTCCAAGTCATCATAGCTATCATTTAAGACTTTGGGAATCAACACAATAATACATTGAAATCATAGCTTAATTCATTTAATTGGTTTTAATTTAATTTAATTGGTTTTTAGAAGATAACTTCTGTATAACTTTTGATGTTAATTGGAAATTTTTATAAAAAGAATGAAATGAAATAAGCTTGTTTATGTATTTTGCAGCTCATGGTGTATATGTGATACAGAGGATTTGCTTCAGCATCTAAAAAAGCAGAAACATGAACGTATAGGCAGTTTGTACCCAGAGGAGTTTAAATACCTTTTTGAAGCTTTGGAGAGTTCTGAAACATTTACCCAAAAATGGTTATATGATCATTCCCAGCAAAATGAAGTTGCAGAAAAGGCACAAAGATTTCATTAACTGGAGCAATTCCTTTGAGAAATTATGATGCAAATTAAAAAGGAATGGGTTTGAAAAGTTTACATCCTTTCAACTAAGAATAAATGGCTTTGTTTTACACAGTCAGAGGATGAATTTGCTGAAAATTCATGCTGTTTTTTTTTTAACAGTTGGTACTCTTAAATGTATAAAATGTGTAAGTGAAATTTCCATTTGACTACTGATTTGATGAACTGAAAATTAAGAGTTTTGTTTGTTTTTTTTCTTGGCAAAATTCTTCACTACTACAAAACTGGTTGGTAAATTGAGTTAATTATCGAATGGAAATTCATTTCGTAAATTCCAGCCCTATTGTTAAAACATCTTAAGTTGAATACATTTAAGTATTATACTTTCACATGGTTTTATTGCTGGTTACATTTCATCAGCCTTGGAAAGCAAATTAGATTGACCTAATTAATTGCAAATTTTACTTTTGAAGTTTGTGAAGTTACAGTTGAAAGATCTACAAAATAAAATAATTTAATGTTTTACCTAAGCTTTTTTTTTTTGAAATTATATATTTTTTTCCTAATGGGTTTTGTGATATTCTTACAAAGCCTAATTTCTTTATCTAAATATTTGAGCAATACATAATATATAAATTTGTTAAAATAGGGTGTGTTGTATATATTTTAATAAAGAAATGTGTATATTATAAAGTGTTACATCAGTCTTTTTTGTGATGTCTTTTACAATTCAGTTGCTTCATCCTATAAATGAGATGAACGAATACTTGACAAAATCTATGTCATTTGGCAGGATAGGGTATTTGTAATCCTAATGTGGGTATCACAGGTCAAGGGTCTAGTCTGTCACTTGTCATTTTAAACAAATTATTTTCATAAGAGTAAATACTAGAATATTTATATTGTTAAGTCACTCTACTTGCAAACCTTTGGTTTCTTGTTTGGCATATTAAAAAAAAAATAGAAGTGAAAAAGCTCTAGGTTTGAAGTCACAAGATCCAACCTATGTCTTGATTCCGACAGTTAATAGCAATCTGGCTTTGAACAAGTCACTTCTCCTCTCTGGGCCCTAACTTCCTTATCTTTAAAATGGGGTTCATAGGATTATAGATTTAAAACTAGAAAAGACTTTAGAGATCATCCAGTCCAATCTCATAAATTTATAGAAGGGGAAACTGAAGCTGAGAGAAGTCAAATGATTTGCTCATGGTAACACAGCTCCACCCACCAAAATAAAACTACTCCTTTGTATCAAATAAGCCAGAGGTTTCTAAGCCCTGCAAGCACTACTGGATGAACCAGATTAAAATATAATTGGGAAATATTTAACAAAATATATTAAAATAGAACACAGGTAATGTTAATATGTGGGTTTCTGAGTCAATATTTGGCCTGCAGGGGTCCTTATGTATGGGTTATTGGCTCCCCTTCCTATTTGAGTTTGACACTACTAAAATAGCAATATAAAAGTACACATTGGCTATCTCTGAAAGTGTATATCTTATTTTGCATCTCTAGTCCATCACTTCTGCTATGGGAGGCATACTTTATACTCTGTCTTCTAGAGTCATGATTGGTCATTTCATTGATGACATTAAATTTTTTTAGTTGGTTTCTTTTACATATATTGTAGTCATATAAATTCTCTCAGTTCTGATTATTTCATTCTACATCAGTTCATACAAGGCTTCCCCAGTTTCTCTGAATCTTATTTGTCATTTCTTACCTAATATTCCATTCTATGCCTATGCCATAATTTGTTCATTCATTTTCCAGAATTTAATGATCTTCAGTTAACATTTCCAATGTTAATCTGTCCTTGGTCTCCTTTAATTTATTTATTTTTAGTTCTCAACATTCACTTCCACAAGATTTTGAGTTCCAAATTTTCTCCCCATCTCATCCCTCCCTCACCCTGAGACAGCATGCATTCTGAATACCTTTTCCCCCACTCTGCCCTCCCTTCTATCTCTTCCCCCCTTCTCTTATCCCCTTCCCCTTCAACTATCCTGTAGGGCAGGATAGATTTCTACACCCCATTTCCTGTATATCTTATTTCCCAGTTGCATGTAAAAACAATTTTTTTAACATTTGTTTTTAAAACTTTGGGTTCCAAATCTTCTCCCTTCCTCCCTCCCCACCCACCCTCATTGAGAAGGCAAGCAACTTGATACAGGTTATATATGTGTAGTCATGCAAAACACCTCCATAGTAGTCATGTTGTGAAAAAGTAAGTATATTTCCTTTAATCCTGGCCCACCCCCCATTTATTCTATTTTCACTTTTGATCTTGTCCCTCCTTAGAAGTATTTGCTTCTGATTACCCCCTCCCCCAATCTACCTTCCCCTCTATCATCCCCCTGCTCTCTTGTTCCCTTCCCCTCCATCATTTCCCTGTAGGGTAAGATAGCTTTCCATACGCAATTGAGTGTGTATGCTATTCCCTCCTTAAGCCAAATCTGATGAGAATAAGATTCACTTGTTCTCTCTAACCAACCCTCTTCCTCTACACTGTGAAAGTCTTTTCATATCTGTTTTATGTGAGATAATTTACCCTATTCTACCTCTTCCTTTCTCCTTCTCCCAGTGTAATCCTCTCTCACCCCTTAATTTTATTTTCCAGATATCACCCTTTCATCTTCAACTCACCCTGTGCCCTCTGTCTATCTATCTATCTACATACATACATATAATTTTTCCCTCTACCTTAATACTGACAAAGGTCTCATTAGTTACAAATATTACTTTCCACGTGGGAATATAAACAGTTCAACCTTAATCTTATGATTTCTCTTTCCTGTTTACCTCTTCATGTTTTTCTTGAGTCTTGTATTTGAAAGTAAATTTTCTATTCAGCTCTGGTCTTTTCATCAAGAATGCTTGAAAGTCCTCTATTTCACTGAATGTCTATTTTTCCCCTGAAGGATTATACTCAGTTTTGCTGGGTAGGTGATTCTTAGTTGTAATCCTATCTCCTTTGCCCTCCAGAATATTATATTCCAAGCCCTCTGATCCTTTAATGTAGAAACTGCTAAATCTTGTGTTATCCTGATTGTGTTTCCACAATACTTTAATTGTTTCTTTCTGGGCTCCTTGCAATATTTTCTCCTTGACCTGGGAACTTTGGAATTTGGCTGCAATATTCCTAGGTGTTTTCCTTTGGGGATTTCTTTCAGGAGGTGATTGGTGGATTCTTTCAGTTTCTATTTTGCCCTCTGGTTCTATAATATCAGGACAGTTTTCCTTATCATTTCTTGAAAGATGATGTCTAGGCTCTTTTTTTGATCATGGCTTTCAGATAGTCCAGTAATTTTTAAATTCTTTCTCCTGGATCTATTTTCCAGGTCAGTTGTTTTTCCAATGAGATATTTCACATTGTTTTCTATTTTCTCAATCTTTTGGTTTTATATTACAGTGTCTTGATATCTCATAAAGTCACTAGCTTCAATTGCTCCATTCTAATTTTTAAGGAAGTATTTTCTTCAGTAATCTTTTGGACTTCCTTTTCCATTTGGCCAATTTTGCTTTTTAAGGCATTCTTCTCTTCATTGGCTTTTTGGACCTCTTTTACCATTTGGGTTAGGCTATTCTTTAAGGTGTTATTTTCTTCAGTAATTTTTTGGGTCTCCTTTAGCAAGCTGTTGACTTGTTTTTCCTGTTTTTTTGCATCACTCTCATTTCTCTTCCCAGTTTTTCCTCTACTTCTCTTACTTGCTTCTCAAAATCCTTTTTGAGCTCTTCCATGGCCTGGGACCAATCCATATTTTTCTTGGAGGCTTTGGATGGAGGAGCTTTGACTTTGTTGTTTTCTTCTAGTTGTATGTTTCAATCTCCTTTGTCACCAAAGAAAGATTCTGTGGTCTGACGTTTTTTGTGAAGTTTGCTCATGATCCCAGCCAATTACTTGAGTTATAAACTTTTTGTTAAGGTAGGGGTCTGCTTCCAGTGTGGAGAATGTACTGTCCCAAGCTTCAGGGGTTTTGTGCAGTTGTTGTCAGAGATACTTCTAGGGACCTGTAAGTTTTCAGTTCTTCCAAAGTGGTATGATAAGGTGCGAGGTGTTTACTCCTTTCCTGACCTGTGCTGTGGTCTATGAGTGACCACAAGCACTCTTCTGCCTTGGAACTGTGAGGAGAATTTCTTCTCCCCCAGGCCAGCACTCCTCATCCCAGGACTGCCACCCAGAACTGTGACCCAGATCCAAGCACAGGGAAAGCAAGAGAATTCTGCACCAGCAAAGAGAGCCCTGCAATCCCTTTCTCATCAGCCACTTGATTTCCCCTCAGTCTGTGGGCCAGAAGCTCTTGAAGCAGCTGCTGCCCCGGGGCTGCGTGGGGACTGGGGCTGGGACCGAGCTTCTCTCTCAGCACAGTCACAGACTTTTCCTACTGACCTTCTAAGTTGTCTTTGGCATTTGTGGGTTGAGAAGTCTGCAAACTGCCACATTGCCCATGATTCAGTCCTCTGAGTGCTGCTGTAGGTTCTCTGAGGCCTGTTTTGCCTGTGCGCCCACATTGAACTACGTTCCTCTCCCCACCTGGTGCGATATCCCTTTCTGATTACATCACCATCATCATCATTGTCATCATCATGATTTCTCTTGCAGCCTTGCACTGGAATTCAGGTAGAAATCATTCTAGGAAGGTAGCTCTCCTAGTATTATTCTTTTATGCTTAATCCAAAAATTGTACCCTCCTAACAATGTCCAGGCCCATATATCCTTCTTCTCTTCCTATCATCAATTATCATTCTGTGCACAGTTAAAACAGCTGTAATATTCTGTCCAGATGTAGATATGCTTCAGACATTCATTAAATTTGAGCTTCAATCAGTCAGGAAACCAAAACCAATGATATGTTTGGAGCTGATTGTTTTGGGTGATTTTCCACAGCCCTGGTCTCCTTTGAGGTTTAAAATATGCTACTCAAGAAAGTCTGACATATCTCCAGAGATAAAGAATTAGGGAATTTTTTTTTTAACAAAATAGAATAATCAGAGCATCTGAACTTGAAACCTGACACAAACCCAGAAAAAGTAAAACTCTACGTCTGTAAACAAAGACTCAAACAAAAACATAGCTTGACCACAAGGAAAACTAGAATTCCTGGAAGAAATTAAGAAAGTTAAAGAATAATATAATATTATAGTCAACTGAAAGCTCTAAAGGAAAGAATTGGAAAAGAAATGAGAACTGCAGAATGAAGACTTGGATAGAAAATAAACAGCTTAGTATATGGAGTACAAAATCTTACCCAAGAGAGTCCCTGAAAACTAAAATGGACTAAACAGAAGATTAATGACTACCTAAGACAACAAGAAATATTTAAAAAATAAAGTCAAATGACTGAAAAAATAGAAGAAAATGCAAGATATATCAAAAACAAATGACCTGAAAAAAATAGGTCAAGAAACAAAAAAATTTAAGAATCATTATACCACTTGAAAGCTACAACCAAAATTTTTTTTCTATAAATCATAAATGAAAACTGCTCAGACTTATTAGAACCAAAAGGCAAAGTAAAAATAGGAGGAATTTACACATTATTTCCTAAAAGAAACAACTCCCAGGAATATCATAGCCAAAATACAGAGCTTCC